AACCGGTGGAGAAGACATTCAAAGCTTTGTACTTACCGATCGCACTGAACATTCCGTAGATGAATCCTTCCAGAGAGAGGAAGGTTAGATACGAGGACTGAAAGTTTTTGTCGCTACCCACTCGGCATGCCAGGAGATTGTACACATAACGAATGCTGCCTGCAAAGAGAGAATCGAAAAAAAAGTCCTAAAGTATTACCATCTATATATCTACATGAAGGGTACCAACAGGGTCAAAGTTAGGGTGATTTGATTAGTTCGCGTCGTGTTTTTGTCTATAAACTTGCGCGCATCAGCAACGGTTCCTGCTGATTGCAGCATTGCTGTACTTAAGTTCAGGATCTTTCCATCTTCAAAATTAATCCCATCCGTGAATACCAGTCCTCGAAGACAGGCAGATCCCAATCGAGTATTAGTATCATCATCATACATTATCATTCCAAGTTGCCTCATGATTTGCAGAGTACACAAATTGGCCTCTCGGTTGGCAGGGAGCTAGACGCATTTTCCATTCCAAAATGTACCCGGAGCCGCTGCAACAACTATGTTGGAAGATCCGTCGATAGAGTTTGCGCTGAATGGACGCAATTGAGTCGTTTTGAGTCGCTAGACGGAAGCCCACTTGAGTCGGGTAAATATTATTTATTTTAGTCAATTTCTCACTAGTCGCTTTCTGCAGTTAATGAACCTCGAGACACAAGATTAAATGACGTCTAAATGCCAAAATGGAGAGGATAAAAAATGACCCAGAGCAATGCAAAACTTTAGGGCATCCAGAAGCAATCTTGATGAGTGGAATATGGTATTTTAAGCATATCTGCCGTCGACTACTTACCTAAATGCTTTGATTCACGAGACTGACCGGCGAAAACGACAAAAAAAATCACATTTGTACTGAGCATAATGAAGGAGTTGCACATAAATGAAACAATGTAGTTGTCTTCCCAGTCGATAAATAGGGAGTAGAGCGATACGATAAACCAGCTAAATCCAATGTGTAATTCGGC